AGTTTCATGTTGCAAGATTTTGTTTTTGTGCACGTATGTAAGAGTTACAGGTTGAAGCACAGAACGCGCGTTTGGAAGTGAACAGAGGACAGGGACGAAGCTGTCTTGGGCCTGGGCGCGCTTGGGCTTCTGTTTTTGCTTCCTATACCCCCTGATCCACTATTTGCACCCCCTGACTTATTATTTTATATTTTTGTATTTTTTTGCATATTTTTATTTTCTTGTGCTTGCATTCATTTTTTCTAATGATAAAAATACCCAAAAATATTTTCTTTATTTTTTGCATTTTATTATATTTCTATTTTATTTTTTTGCATAATAAATGGTTTATTAAGATTTTATACTTTATTTTCTTAAATAAAACTTGTAAATAATTTGAAAATATTATACATTTTTATTTTATTATTTTTTTTCACATAAAATATTATTTTTACATATATTTTTAATTTCTAATATTTGTAAATAATTTTATTTATTTTATTTCTTGTACATAAATGAATAAAATGAATAATGTAAAACATATTTTCTTTTAAAACAAAATTAGGGTTTCCCCTTTCAAAAATAATAACATTATTTTTTTTCTTATTTTTAGGACTTAGATAATTTGATTTTCTCATACATAAAACAAATACAAAAAACATTTTGCATAATTACATATTATTGCATATTTAAATAATTGTTTATTTATTTATTGTACAATAAATTCAATTGGGTTGTAATAGTGAATTAGGGTTTTATTTTGTGCAAATATCCTCATTCAAAACTTGTATCCCCCCTCCCATAATATTGTTGTAATAGTTTAGATTTACTTTACGCAATTTATCGTATTATATGCATGTTTAGTAAATTAGGGTTTGTATGATAAGACAAAAATCAAACAAATAGCATGACCTAATCCAAGACAAAAACGCATGTAAAATGACAACACCTGGCACACAAGCACCCCTAGGGTTTCATCCACTTGGTTGCCTTAAAACATGGCCATGGTATGCATGCTAGGTATCTTGGCAAAACAAAACAAAACAAAAGATCATAGTCCCTCGATGACGCTATCACAATTTGCCTAAAACAAATGATCTTAGTCCCTCAAAACTTGCTAAGATACTTGGCACCATTGCTATCATGGTCATACGATGACCCACACCCGTCCCGTTTAACATCCAAAGATAGGGTTATCTACCAAAACAATGGTAGATTAACAATGTCAAAGGAATGAAAATGTACAAGAAAGACTTTTGAGTAGGTAGATGCTTCTAGTTACTTGATCAATTTGCAAACAATCCTTGCTATTTTCAAACAAACACACACATTTCAAAACATTTTCCAAACAACTTTCAAAACATTGAAACATTTTTCAAAAGACTAACATATTTGTATACATTCTTACAAACAAGAATCATTACAAAGATTTCCTAAACAAAGGCCTCTTTTCAAAATAATTTCAAAACCACACAAAGCACCATTTCAAACAATTGCAAAAGCAAAGCAAGTGATCTGAAACAAGTAACTAAGAGCCCGTGGAAAACCATGGATGAAAAGGGTGCTAGCACCTTCCCTTTTCATAATCTACCCCCCCGAACTCAAAAACAATCTCAAAGGTCTTTCCTGTGCTTTTTTACCTTTCCTTTTGGATAAAAGAAAAGTCGGTGGCGACTCTTACTAAACCACGACATTTGCGAATACAAACGCAAAACCTCAAGTCAGTTCTCACACCGCATCACACTCGGTATACTAGGGGTGGTTATTATAGATAAAATTTGGGTGATCTATCCACTTTGGATTATAGGTAGTATGGTAATGGTTTCCATGGTTATTGTTCATATAATTGACCATATTTTGGATAGAAACTCCGAAGAGGATCATTTTGAAAAGGGATTTTTTTAGAAGAAAAACAAAACACAAAAATAAAAGTGCTTTAGTCTTAACGACGTTGAAATAAAATTTCAATATCAAAACTTCTCCTTGGCAACGACGCTAAAAACTTGATCGTGTTTGAATTGCGAGTGTACGGTTGTATCAAGTAGTAAAAAGTATCGATCCCACAGAGATATATGTAATTACCAAGTTTTACTTCAATAATGTTTTCTAAAGTGATCAAAAATGGTTTGTGTGATTGCAGATTGAAATAGTAAATTAAGAAATAAAAACAGTACTATGATTATGATTATCCATCAAGACACGCCCCTAAAACTATTCATGCTTGCATTGTGAGAAGATCTAAGACTTTTTTTGTAGAAAATTAGATAAAGATGTGTGACACCCACTTTCGTGGCATGTGTGTCTAAACGTGTTACAGGCACACCTATGTATATCAATCAAGAGCATACCCCTTGTTACGCGACACCACATTCTTGATTGTTTCTCAACTGAAATCAAGTGTCATTGGCACCTCGAACTTAGTTGTTCATTAATCCGTGGTCGGATGTCGAATCATTATCTTTCGATACTTGATTGACATTTGTTTTAACTTTGATTTCGCAACCCACGTAAACATACATTGGCACTTGAATTCTAAAATAAAGTAACTTATACTTCTCATAATTGCAAATAAATGATTCAATCGGGGTATTTGATGAGATGAACTCTCATGATCCCTTGTCCATATGGATCTACTCACTCATGGTGAGAGAAACAAAAATCAAGTAATTTAAACACATTGCAAGAAAGTAAATAAAATAAAACAAGTAAAAGGAATAACTTGGAATGAAAAAGAAGGAAAGATTTAAAATACCAAAATGTAAATCAATTACATGTACAAACTAAATCTTCAAAGTGGAAGAAAAACAATAAAGAAAAATAACAATTGATGGATGAGTCTCCTAAGTCTCACCCTTAGGTATCTTTATTTTCCTTGGTGCCTAAGGGTCTATTTATACTAAAAGCAACCATAAATCACCACTAATTGGCCATGATTTCGAGTTAAGATTTTAAATACCCACTAACATAAAGCCTAGGGGTTACGAAAGTGAAAAGTTCCAAAAACGTCCAAAAGTTAAAGAGTTTATAACTGTCTGACATGCTGACACAGGCATTGTCACCTGACACGGGTAGCATCAGCTGACTCAGGAAGGTTGTGTCAGGAAACACATGTTGTTGTGTCAGCCTCAAGTTTCTCGTATAGAGGTGCCTCAAAGAGGCCAACATGGCTAGTGTCATGGGACATGTCCTGGCCATGTTGGACTTGAAAATTTTGTACTGATAATGCTCCTTTTTGTGCGATCTTTGGCCTTTTCGCCCCAATTCTCTCCATTGACTTTTTATTACCTAAAAACAAACATAGGAAACAAAAATGCATGAACATGAACTAGAACGGTGAAATAAACACATGAAGTCAAAGGGAAAGCAAGCAAGAAATATGATACATTTACTGTTAATCAAATACCCCTAAACTTGAACCGTTCCTTGTCCTTAAGCAATAAGCTTGCTTAGAAAGAATTATGATCAAGCCGTTTTTCAATTCTTTAAAAACTTAAAAAGTTGAAAATTGTCAATACTCATATGTGATTCGTTACTCCGGCTAGATGAGACTCAAGTTCCCTAGTACACACCAACACCAAAGGTATTACCAGAACACAAAACCATAAAGCAGATACAGTCAGTAGTTTCTGACTTAGGTCACCTCTCTAGCTACGCTTTGGAATTAAGTTTATTTTCGACTTTCTTCCCTTTTTCATTTTAACCATCAATTTAAGGCACTTTGAATTATGATAATCATCACACATGCAAGATCGATTGATATTTTTTTGTTTAGACACCAGATAAGCAACAATTGCTATCTTTATTTACCGATGAAATTATACACTTTTGTATGATCATTTATTGTCCACTTTGGGACGATGTTTGGGGTTCAATCATCGTTGGGCTGAATAACCGGGTGAGGGTTACCCAACTTAGAAGGGGCAATTGCCTTTAACCGCCATTTTCACCATTTTGATGCTAAGATGTTATTACACACACACACACACACACACACACACACACACACACACACACACACACACACACACACACACACACACACACACACACACACACACACACACACACACACACACACACACACACACACACACACACACACACACACACACACACACACACACACACACACACACATATATATATATATATATATATATATATATATATATATATATATATATATATATATATATATATATATATATATATATATATATATATATATATATATATATATATATATATATATATATATATATATATATATATATATATATATATATATTTCTCAACCAATCATATATGATGTGTGAATCTAAAGTATGTCGGGCTTCTATAACAAACTATTAAGGAAATACTTCTCAAGATTCAAGTACTATGATACAATACATGTGCTAAACTCGTGACCTATTTGGGAAACTAAGAAACTCATGCTAAATTGGTGTTAAACACATGTTATTCTTATCTTCTGCAAAAGCAATTCTTTCAACATTCTGGCCAACAAGAAATTATTCTTAAACTACTCTTGTGCTTATGGTCAAGTCATTAATGAATCAAAATATACTATTTATCTAGGTTCATTGTCTTCCAGGAGGGCTACTTACTACTCTCAAATTGTTGGTTTCTCTCGGGGCTCCTTACCCTTCAACTACTTAGGAGTCCCAATCTTCAAAGGCAAAGTCAAAAGAGATCATCTACAGGCCCTGACTGACAAAGTAATTTCTAAGCTTTCTTCATGGAAAGGCTCAACTTTGTCCTATGCTGGAAGATTTTTAATGGTTAATACTTTTATTCATAGTATGATTTATCACTCTATGAATTTATACTCTTGGTTTGTCTCTCTCTTGAAGTTGATTGGTCAAGCTTCTAGAAACTTTATCTAGAGTGATACCATAATTGACAGGAAATTAGTGACAGTGGTCTAGAGAAAAGATTTGTCAACCCAAGAAGCATGGGGGTCTTAGTCTAAGATCATTAATCACTTTAAACAATGTTACAATCTTAAGCTTGGTTGGGATATGATGTCTAGCAAGGAACACTGGGCCAAAATTGTTAGAGCTAGAGTTCCCAGAGAGCGTGGGACAATTAATCATCATATATTCCCAACCCTCCGGTAAGGAATTAAACTTGAATTCAATTTATTGATGTCTAAAATTGCTTGGACCATTGGTAAAGGTAGACATATAAAGTTTTGGAAAGATTTGTGGTGTGGTGAGCCTCTTCTAGTGAAAACTTGTATTAGCACTCTTCAGGGGTATGGCATTGATCCAGACATGATCATTGCTGATGTTTGGACTAATAATCGTTAGTGCATCCCTTCGTCCTGACACAACTCGTTCTCTTTCCTGGCTCAAGACTTGGAGTTATGTACCAAGTATGGCAGTGATATGGATAAGGTTATTTGGCCTAATTCTGATGATGGTAATCTTTCTTTAAAGCTACCTTATATCATCAAAGCACAACCTTCCTTAAATCAAAATTGGGATGGTTGTATATGGAATGAGGACATTCTTCATTCAAAAAAAATTTTGGCTTGGTGTCTCATGCTACTATTACTTTCATACTTTTGGCTATTTGGCAGGCAAGGAACTCTGCTAGGTTCCTCAATATCACCCCTACTTTCAACAACAGTCTTTCCGAAATTAAAGCTCAAATCATCTTGTCTAGTAACAAATCTTTGTTTCGATCCTCCTCCTCTTTATTTGACTTTAAACTTCTCAAATTTTTCAATGTTAATCTGCATCCTCCTAAAGCTCTTGTGATGAAGGAATTTATTTGGCAACCCCCTAATAGATCTTAGTTAAAACGCAACTTTGATGGAGCAATGAATTCCCAATCTAGTGGTTGTTGGGGAATTTTTAGAGATCACCTGGGTAACTTTGTTATTGTCTTTTCTGAACCTACTATGATTGTCAATTCCTTACATGCTGAATTCTTTATCGTTTTTAGAGCTATTTACATTGTCGGAGATAAATCATGGTCTAAACTTTGGATTGAAACCGACTTTCTTGTGGTAGTCCAAGCTTTCACAAAGGAATCTCTTATAGATAGATGGCTTCACTGTAAAAATATAATTGATAATATGTCTTATGTTATAACTCACATATATAAAGAAGAAGACTCTTATGCAGACTTTTTTGCTAACATGTGTCGCACATCTGACATTCTAATATTTTTAAAGTCATTCTTATAGATATTAGAAGTTATTTTGTAAAAAATAGGTTTGACTTACTTTTTTTTAATTTATTTTTTTAGAAGATTTTGATCTAGTCTCTTCTCTTTTTTTACGTACGAATTACCTTATTTTAAAAAAAATTGAGTAGAACCCATTGAATTAAGTTGCTTTAAACACTTCTATTTTTGTACTCATTTTTTATATTTATTTATCATTTAATTTTAATGTAGTTGAGCTAATTAAATTAAGTTGCTTCAAACACTTTGAGAGGGTTTTGTTATTTATTGGAATCAACTTCAGCCATCAATTTATGCCGTTGTGTGAAGGAAATATTTGATTTATCTTTTTAAAAAATATAATATCTTTTATGGTTTTTGCATGGCATTTATTTGAAAAAGTAGGAGAACCTAACCCTTAATATGATTTTATTATTAAGTCACATTCAATTGAAAAAAGGCCCACTACCACATGCAAACAAGTCTTCCAACCCATCATTTCCATATTTTTCATTTCGTCGGCGGCATATGCTTCACCTCCTTATCTCTTGCATTGTTTAATTTACTCAAATGTCGTTTTCGTTTCAACTATAATGCATTTTATCCTTTTCATTTTTTTTGGACCATTCAAAGCTCCTTGCCAATAATAATATGTTAATGTTATATAGCTAGTCATATGTTCAATAGGAATCTAGCTATAATTTACATATGACATTGGTGAAATGTTGATAGCATGATAATGATAATCAATTGTGTTATTTGAATATTAAAGAACATGTACTTATGATATTGGATGTGTTTATCTATTTCTGTTTTTATCTTTTATCTTTTATCTTTTATCTTCTATAATTTACATATATTTTTAAAATACACAAATTAAATATATTGTATTTAACTTTAGTTCTGATGAAGAATCTCAATTTACAATGTTAATTGTAAACATATGAATGATAGTGAGGTTGCAAAGTGTTTTGATGTTCTAGTATGGTGTCAGAGTTACTTAGAAACACTCTCACATTCAAATTAATAATATTGGAGGTGAAAGATTTTCTAGATTAGAAAATATGTACTTTGAGTGTTAGTAGAGTTTAATGAGAAGCACTAACAATATTTTTTTTCAACTCTCTTTTAACACTTATTTTTTTATTAAATGAAATATTTGTGGATCCCTCATTTTGAAAATGGATCACACATAAAGTGGTAGGACTCACATTTGTTTCATCCATTAAAAGAGTAAGTCTTAAAAAAAGTGTTGAAAAGAAAGTGTTGTTAGCTTTCTTCGAGTTAAATTTATATAGCCTTTAGGTTAGGGTATTAGGCTTGAATGAGTCTAAAGTCTCGACTAGAATTATAACCTCTAAGTGTTAGCTGACTGAGTCAGGTAATGGCTTGAGTTCGATGATTTGTCGAAGCCATGAATTGCAAGTGAAGTTATATAACAAGTTGAATTTGACGTTTGTTGATTAGGAAATCCGTATGTAGGACTGTTGTCAATCAAATATGTTGTATTGATGATTGGTATGATGATGGAGTTAACTTGTGAACATGGTATTTTTAGATTTAATGTATTTTATCTATGTGTTGGCATTGTAGGTGATGCATGACTCTTCAAGGTCGAGTTTGATCATGATTTCCCTTTTTGTGTGTATGGTCTTATCAACATCATATCATCTCTAACAACAACTCGTCAGCCAAAATGTAAATGCTCTATTCCCCAACTCGAGGAGTAGTCCTGGGGATGAGGTAGATGTGGTGTCATTTCCTAAAGACACGATGGCAAGTTGAGAAGTGAGTGCGACATATAGTGTCAGGATTATCACTTAACCAAACACGGGAGCTTAAAAAGAGGTATGGTATGTCGTGAGATATGGTCGTGAAGTTCACTATACTAAGCCTATGAGCATGAAGGGGAATCTGATTTTCTATCTTGCATAAAAAGTATCAATTCCACATAAAAATCATTAGTCAACACAGATACAAATCAATTAGACGAGAGGAATTTAAATAATATTAGATGTTTGATCGATTAAGTTGATCGGATGTGAATATGTCTTGGGGAAATATATAGCTCATTTGTTTTCACCTAATGACCTTGAAGGATGGTTTTCCCATCATCTCCGGTGGCAATAAAAAAATCGAGTGTTAGTATTTCAGAGAGTTATAAGATTATTTAACCAAGGTAGATTATTTGATCCAATTTTTTATGAAAGTGGAAATTGTTGAGCCCCTCCCTCCTCAATGAAATCAAAAAGTAAATTTAGGGATGTTAGTTTCTTGGGTTATTTGGTCCCTCCTTGTCCTAACCAAAGGGCAAAGCAAGGGAGTTCACTTTGTTGGCGTTGAGGTTATTCTTAATCCTCTTTTTCCTATAACTTTCTTGCTATGAATAGTACTAAACAATGCATGTAAAATTAGAAATCATTAGCCAATCAAATATAAGAGTCTCATAATTTAACATATGTTTTTATTATTATTGTCTTTATATAAACTGTCAGGGGAAATTCTTTGGCTAGGTTTTGCCCTTGCAGCTCTCGTCGAGAACATGGATTCTTTCCTAATAGCACTAGCATTGTTGTAGGGGCGACGAGGATTCACGTGTGAGGATCCAACATGTGTGATCGCCTCAAGGGGTGGAATCCATGTTGGCAACATAGAAGAAAAAATTTCTCCCCATAAAACGAAAAGTGTCATGAATTTATCCATACAAGTGACAGAGATTGTAACTCGCCTGAATAAACAAAAACAATAAACGAAACTAAACTAAACAGAGCTTAACGCTTAGACAATTATATTGATTTGACAGAGGGTCATTTCTTGGCACCTACGCGGCAACCTGGCTTGGAGTGATCATGTCTCATCCCCGAGAGCTACCTTTAATGGCTTGTCCTCCAACTTTATGCCAAGAGCGTTCATTCCCATAGTCATAACCTTTCTCAACTTTAAACTCTCTCTCTATATAGTATTTCCTTGATATCTCTTGGTTTCCCTATATAACCTGACTCTCTCATTTGAGAGCAGGTACTTTATGCACATGTATAATATGGATAGGGAGATTCCTAGATTGTTAAAAGTGGACTGCCCTATAATCATTTTATATGAGAAAGGTGCATTAGTCAAAATATACTTACCTTAATCTGCATGGAATTTTCTTCTGCTCCAAAGGTAGTCTTAAATATTATATAACTCTTCACTTTCACTTGCTTGCGCAAAAATCCCTCCGAAGATCCTTGGAAGGCTTAAGGTCATATAAGTCCATCTTAAGCTTCTTAGACGCATCCCATTAGAGGTTGTGTGTAGAGTTTCCTTGATTAATCAAGACCCTATTAATCTCCCAATCATCACATTGCATGTTTATGAGCATGAGAACATTATTATGTGGGTGGATGCCTATAGTTTATTTCTCATAAAAGGTGATATCAACTTTTGGAACTTCTATCTCTCATAGATCAGAGTGGGTGGGCAAGCCCTTTATGGTTAGAATCTGGAAAACATATATTTTGTGGGCATAATTGGTTTCTTTACCTTCGGTGAATCCTATTGTAATGGTATTAAGATTGTGACGTATAACTCTATTGTCACATTCCTTTCTTGGTTCCTTTCAATTCTTGGATCCAGGACTCCCTAAGGCATCTTATCCCTGAAAGTTATGTTTGTATGGTCTTTGAGCGGAGTCACATTTAACATACTTCTTTAGGTGACCATCTTAAATCATATGCTCTATCTACTTCTTGAGTTAATAGTAGTCCTTAATATGATGCCCATTGACTTTGTGGAACTAGCACACCATATGATGGGTTCGGGGCCCATGACCTCTGACTGTGGAGCTCAAGGTTGAGGGATATCGTGCATGTGAAAGACTTCTCGCCTTATTTATTTGCGGCGAGTGTTTAGAGGCATGTAGATTTGGGTGGATTTTCCACTTCACTTGAACATCACATTATCTCTAACTAGTGATGTATAATGACTCATTCGTAAGTGTTGTGAGCTATTAGTAGTAAAGGTGCACTTTTTTTTACATCCATGGCCTTCTTTTCTACATTGTTTTCCTCTCCCTTGATACAACATTTGACATACGTCACCACCTTAGCCAAGGAAGATGCAGACTTCTATGTGAAGGATTTATTCAAATGATCTACCTTGAGGCCATTATAAAATGCTCCCACGAACATCTCCTAGTTTGGGTGGACGACTTTGATAGTCGCCTCGTTAAAGCGGGCAAAATACTCTCTCAAAGATTCAAAGTGGCCTTGAATATTGTTGAAGAGGATGGTGGAGACCATTTGTTCTACATTGTTTTCCTCACCCTTGATACAACATTTGGCACATGTCACCACCTCATCCAAGGAAGATGCAGACCTTATGCGAAGGATTCATTCAAATGTTTCACATTAAGGCCATTATAAAATGCTCCCACGAACATATCCTAGTTAGGGTGGATGACCTTGATAGTCACCTCATTAAAAAGAGAGAGGTACTCTCTAAGAGATTCAAAGTGGCCTTGACGAATATTGAAGAGGCTGGTGGCGACCATCTTTCAGTGCATGCTTGTTGCAAACTAGTGGACTAGTTTCTTCACTAAATCCCGATAGATAGTGATGGATAGTCTGGCCAGACCCATATACCACCTCA